AAAAAAATAATTTTATTTTAGTTTTTTTAATAAATTAATGCTTTATTTATTATTAAATTAAAGTATAATAAAATAATCAAAAAGTTAATTTAGATTATTCTTTATTTAAAATAAAAAAATATAAAGATTAGTTGAAATTTGAATAATTTTTATTAGAAGTAATTATTAATTTTTTATTAATATATCAATCTTTTAATCTTTTGTACTGGTCCATAATAAAATATAAAATATTAAAAAAATTAAAATTTTTAGCTATTAAAATTATTATATATAAATTAATTCTTAATAATTTAATTAAATAAATAAGACTTTTTTAAAAAACTTTTTTTTTAATATAAATAAATATAAAATTATTTAATGATTATAAAAATAGAATATTAAGAAATATTAAAGATTTTATATTAATTATAATAATAATAATAATAAATTTAAGCTATTATATAAAAATATAAAAAAATAAATATAATAAAGCTTAAAAGAATAAAATAATACATTTTTTAATATTATTAAAATAAAAGTGAGATAAGATAAAAAATTCAAAATTAAATTTAATAGTTTGTAAATAAAGTATATTTTTTTTAATATTTTATTAATTTTATTATAATATATAGTGATAGTTAAAGATAATATATTAAAAGTCAAATTTATTAATATAATATAGCAAAAATTGAAATATTTTTTTATATTAAACTTATAATTTTATTAATAATTATTTTTTATTTTTATATCAAATTAAAGTTCATAATCTATAGTTTAATATATATATTTTTAAATATTTTCTGAAAGAGTCATTCTAATTGTAAAGTTGTTGCAAAATATTTCTAATTAAAAATAAAAATTTAATTAGTGAAAATTTTTGCAATAACTTTGTAATTAGAATCATTCTTTCAGAAAGAATTTAAAAATTCAAATAATATATATATTAAACTATAGATTATGAACTTTAATTTTAATATAAAACTAACAAATATTTATTAATAAAATTATAACGTTTAATATAAAGAAAATATTTCAATTTTTATTATATTTATTAATAAATTTGACTTCTAATGCATTATCTGTAATTAAGAATAAGATTGAATATTTATTTAATTTTATAATAATTTATTAAGAATAAATATCTTTTATTATCTTTATACAAAATTTGAAATAGTATTTAATAAATGATTTTTAATAAATGAATTAATTATATTATGTATTATATTATAATCTTTTATTTTAAACTGATAATAATTAATATCACATATAAATAAAAATAGTTTTTGCTCTATAAATTATTTTTAATCTTAATAAATTAATTTTAATAATTTATTCTGCATCTTATCCTGACAACCTAACACCCGACATACAGTGACTCACAAAAGAAACGAAAAGCAAGAGAAAAAATGGCGAAATTTGAATAATTTGCCATTAAATGAATATAATCAATTTACAAAAAGCAGATTCCATTCGTGAAAGTAATAATAATCACGTAATGCAATTTTTATTTTCATCCATCACTTGATTCACAAATTAATAATTTTTAGGATTATGCCCGAATTGGACGATAATAGCATATATATATATCATTTTCTTTTTAGTTAGGCAATTAGAACGGTTAAAAAATTTCACGTTACTATTATATCACCTGTATCAATCATTAATTCTTTTAGATCATTTTTTGTTTAAAAGTGGGCCAGGAAGATTTCGCACAAATTTTCAATTGGGGTGACTGGGCAGACCAGTTCAACAAAGCAATTTCATTATCAATAAATCATTGCTTTGCTTTTTTGGACACATGTTTGGGGACATTATCTTGCTGGAATATGAATTCATTATCTTCCAGCATGTCCTCATATACTGTGTCTAAAAAACTAGTATTCAATATATTAATATAAACATGAATGTCCATTATGCCATCAATTTTTGGAGTAGACTAACTCCAGTTAGACAACCCCAACCATAACAGAACCACCATCAAATTTCACTGTTGGTGGTCTTTTAATTGTTCACCAGGTTTCCCCTTTCGTCCATCCGACCCGAATTTCTGGAACTTGCTTTCGTCAGAAAAAGTCAATTGTCAGCTGTCCAACTTCGGTATTTTTTCGCCCACGCCAGTCGTTGTTTTTATGTGTTTTTTAAGGTGGGGTTTCTTTCGCTTGATTCTAGCAAATAAACCATTTCTTCGGAACATACGTCGTATGGTTTCAACGGAAATTTCAACTCCAAGTCCAGTTTGGAGCTCCCGTTGAACTTGGACAGCAGTTGAGCATTTTCCAGACGTGATTAATCTAACGGCATTCCGTTCATAACGATCTGAAAGGATGCGTGGACGACCAAGTTTTGGCTTGTCTTCGAAATTTCCGATCTCCTCTTTATTTTTGGCAGATACGATAGGCCGAGGAGACACCCACTTGTTCGGATAATGCGATTTCCGGAAAGGAACATCCTTCTTGTCGAAGAGTATATATTCGGACGCGTTTTTCGGTTGAAATTGGGATAAAATAAATTGCTAGAATTTCGGTCTATTTTGTGAGAAATTCGTTGTAATAAAAGAAGCTTTTATACTTATCTTTTTGGCTTCCGAATTCCTCGTCCAATTTGGTCGTAATAGACGGAAAGCTAATAAAAATTCGTTAGTTAGTGAATCAAGTGATGGATGAAAATAGAAATTGCATTACGTGATTTTTTTTTTGCTTTTCGTTTCTTTTGCGAGTCACTGTACCCAACTTCCCGCCAAACCCAATTTCCAGACATAAATTAGGAATTAAACTAGCTTTTTCGGGAAGTTAGGTTTAAATTTTTAGAAGTTTGGATTGTCGGGATGTTAGGTTGTCGGTAAGTTGGATTGTCAAGAAGATAGGGATGTTGGGTGTCAGGAAGATGGATGACACCCGATTTTTACCGGAACCGGTATATATTAACTTATTAAAAACTTCAGTATTTTTACATAAATGAAAATCGAGTCTTTAATTTTGCGTCGGTAAAAGCCGACTTTGGTATTGAATTTATATAAAATTTATACAATTTAAAAAAAATTTTTAAAATTACATGTACACAGCTTATATCTAAATACATTAACGCGCATATCTCTTATCAAAAAATTATTGTTCTAAGATTTATATGATTTCTTTTTTAAGTTTCGGGAAAAACATAGATCTCATCAAAATAAACTCCAATTTACTCATTGCTCGACACGTAATCAACAAAATTGGCAGAAACAAAAGCATCAGCGGTCCCGCCAAACAAGCGAGTATGACTGCTGCCGTAAAAGTGAGGATACAGAAGATTGATTTTATAAAGATGAAGTAAAGAAATGCGAACCAAGTAAATCGATCGAAACAAATCCCCGTGAAATATTTTATCCATGATTCTTGGCATGAACTGGTTGCTGTGGGCAATTGTTGTGGATCTCGTAGTGGTTTGGTGATTGGTGGTATAACGTGTTTGGGGATCTTTTCGCGAACGCACACTTGCACGATGCATATTTCAATACGCGCGAGTGCTCTAAAATTAAAAATAAATTAATGTAGTTTCTCAATTAAATTCACTGATCAATCAAAATAATATAATCTTAATTACCGCCAAGACCATGCAACTCCAATACAAAAGAAATATCCGATGGGCGGAAAAAGAATCGAGACTATCGAAGCTACAAACGTTGGTAAAATCCAACAGAATGCAAAAACGCCAATTGGGAACGAGATAAACAAGATGTAAAGAACAGAAATCCATCCATAGGGATCAGTCACCGAAGACCATAAAGAAGTACAACAACAATTATTTCTTTGTTTTTTATTTTCTTTTGAGGGAGACTGGTTTTGCGAAAATGACTCTGGTGGTGGTGGTGGTGATGACGGGGAAGTAATTATTGCACGTTCTGGAACATTGCTGGAAGAAGATTGTTGTGTAAGTAAAGATGAAGTAACTTCATATGGTGGTGGAGGTTGATCAATATCAATTTCAAGATGATGATCGTTCGTTTTATTGTCATCAGGATAATATAATCTATTAGCCATTTTTTATATATTTATGTAAGTCGTTTTTTTAATACAATCAAGATCACTTAAATCAATAGAATCAAATAAAAAGAACTATATGTAAAAGAAACAACTATATGTGCATCGTTTCTTGAGCAACGACTGATCGTATTTATTGTTTTTTTGTGAATTTTGCCAAGTTTTGTTGATTTCCCAAATCTATATTCTCATAGGATAGTGACACAGGAGAAAATAAGGAAATGGATGTGAAAAATAGTGTAATCGACCTGCATGAAAAAAGCCCGATATGTTCGTAAAAGGGGGTTACATGTATACAGAAACTTGCAGATTTCCTTATGATCTTAACGGGACACGGAAAAATTCCGTTTACTCCGAAATTCATTATGATTCGCCAGTCAAAGTTTAAAAAAAACTATGTTCTACACTATCGCACTTCATGTATCGGTATCTATTTCACTAAAAAAGGGATATAAAATTTTTTTGTTTAGGGATTCATTTTTGAATAAAAATAATATAACATTCTATTCCAGTTTTGTTTCAAAATTCTGTTTTATATCGATATTTACATGTCCTTTGTATAAAGTATATGTATGCTCTTAGAAGAAGAAAAAACAAATCCCTTATAGAAAAAAATTCAATATTCAATATCTTACGACAAAATAACTAATTTTCGTGTCACAGAAGTTGAACTTATGCGTGTGTTTGTGAGTACGTATAATAAAAAATATTTGTTGAATATTTTTCATAGGAAATAATAACTCCTTTCAGATAAAGACAAATTAATTCTTTTCAGAAGATTAGAAATTATCAAAATTCATGAACATTTTTAAAATGAATTATTTAATTCATTCTTAATAGAAGATAGAACAAAAAATTTCATTGAAATTTACATCAGGTGATAGAAAACAAATATTTCTGACAAAATTTCATATTCAAATATACGTTAAGCTTAAACGAAATGATTGACATGCAAACCACTAAATTATGAATTAAGGAAAAAAAAATTTGACTTTATTCAATGATATTTTATGAATATCTTTGTTTCCTTTTCGTAAATTGACAAATTTCTCTATGCTCAAAAATCTGTATTCTAAAAATAGGTTTTACCAAGTTTAAAAAACTATAGCTGAAGGTGAATCTAATAAAAAGATGGTGAAAAATAGATGTATTATGCATTTAAATTTTGCAAATAACTGGTCACTGTTTTAAAATAAAAACAATAAATATGTAATTTTCTAAACCTAGCGTTAAAAAACTAGGCACAATGTTTGTATTATAATTGGTAGCGTCACCAATTAATTTTGAAAAAAATTATTGTCGAAAATTCAAAATTATAAACCCAAAGTCGTTAGCAAAGATTCAATTTATTCTACAATTTATGGCATACAAACACTGATGTCCCTCTTGAAACGAGAAAAATGTATCTTATTGTCTGACTGACAATATAGGAATGGTTGGTTATACATGTACCGTTACCTATTGCTTTGTAATACTGTACGAGTTACATAAAGATGGTTCATTTTACATGTACTTGGTATTTCAGAAAAGTTATTGTAACTTTCGGTAATGGGAAATCGTTAATTTGCCTATTTAACCTTAACGAAAAATATACACCATATCGGTAAATGTATATCGATATGAATAAAAAATTCACAAACGCGTACATGTATTATGCATACGATACGTATCGAGTTACATTGTGGATGATCTGATATTAAATCAAATACTTGATTTAGAAAAGATTACACCTGCTTCTTTTTCTGTTTCTATGCTGAACTTCGAAACTTTCAAGCTATTTAAGGTTTACTGTCTCATTCATTGAAACATATTTAGCCGTTATGGCGAGCAATTTTAGCTATTGGGCAATGCTTTGTTTACGATAATACATTCATTATTTCTTTTCGTACCATTTTGGTTCTATTCGTCGTTATTTATCTAATTACGGTAATCAAAGTACAATGTTATTATTGGCGGCGGATTAGATATAATACCATAAAAAATATATAAATACAGAACGAACCTGAATGCAATCTTCCAAAAAGCAAACTAAAATAATTCATTACTTACACGATATATTGTAACGTAGTTTATCATAATGACCCACGCATTCAAAATTATATTGGCTCTGGTGGCTTTGGTCACTGTTGTTCGTGCCGCTGACATCAGCATTACTGCCACGAAAGATATAAAATTTAAACCTGAAAGTGTCAATGTTCAACCTGGTGATAAAGTAAATATCAATGTATTATTCGATATTTTTTAGTACTTTCTCTCATTGGCATTAACAATTAAAGGTTACATGGATGCTTGAAGACCCTTCTGTTCCGCATACTGTTGTTCAATCTGATCAAGCTGATTGCACTGCTTCAAAAAACAAGAGTGCCTGTAAGTTTTGATTTTTTATGTTATATGATTTAATTTGTTGATGGAAATTTATAAATTAATCTCTTGGATTTTTTAAATCAAAAGTTAGTTCTGGAGGCTCATTAAAAGCTTCTGGATTTTCCATTACAATTCCTTCGGATGCTATGCCTGGCAACCTTTATTATTTTTGCAGCATACCTGGTCATTGTGAAGGTGCTGGAATGAAAGGGGTTTTAGTAGTTACTGGTAGCGGAACTAACTCAACAAATGGTACCACAAGTGACAATTCGACAAGTAACGGTAATACAACAAGTAACGGTAACATGACAAGCAACGGTAATTCTACGACTTCTGGAACCAATTCTACTTCCAACACTACATCTTCCTCTCCCTCTTCCAGTAGCACAAATAAATCAAATTCCGCTGACAATTTGAAAAGCTCTTTTGAAATGGCATTCTTTTTATTGGCTTCTGCGCTTTATTTTAATATTTTTTAACCATTGGTTGATGGATTAGATTTCTTTGCTTTAAATCTGTTTACTGTATATAACTTTTGTTATATGCGATAACAATCATGCACCCAGACAAATAATAAACACAAATACTTAACTTTAATTGAGGCAAAAATCTCTCAAGATTATCGTTATACAACATTATGTTGGGGATACAAACGCGTGTATCTGTTTTACAGTGCGGGAATTTTTAGTGAAGCTACCCTCGCTGACTAATTATCATTATTTAGAAAAACACATACATCTGGCCACGGTATAGGTTCCGCGTAAGAACCATTTAAAGTCTATTTACTATATTTGCAGTAAGAATATGGGCTGAGTGTAATACAAAAGGTAAGTTTCGCACTCGCCTATAATTTACTACGTGTACATGTGATTATTTGTTTAAACACTTATCCAAAATTAACTCGTCATACCCTTGAAACATGAAATTTGGCTAAAAATAGACTTGTTTACATAGTAATAATGTTTTAAAAGTTTATTGACATATTAATATGTAGAATAAATTCATAATTAGTTCCTTATGAGAACGGCGCCGAGAATTGTTAGAATCGAGAAAGAATAAATGAATTACTTCAAATCTCTAAATCTGCAACAATATCAAGGAATTATTTCCAAAACATACGAAAGTTTCGAAAAATCAGAATACTTTCGAGAATTTTTCTTAGGATCCCGTTAAAGTTCTAAAATAACACTGGGTGGTACATTTTTTTATAATTAAGTTATTCAAGAGGAGATTCGAGCTGTTCTAAAGTACATTGACACTTATTTGGAATAAGTTGCTATGGAATATTTAAAACCCAAATGCAACTGAATACATTTGACTCGACAGTTATACAAAAAATATACATGTATAATGAATTATATTAGTTCCAACTACGAAGAATTGACTTTGTGCACCAAGAATGAATTTTGAATCCGGAAAAGTACAACCTAGACGCGTGATAGTTGGTATGGGTCTACCCCAACATCCCGACACCCATTTAAAATGAAGATCTGTTATCTGTCTTGTAGCACACCGATCATTGTGAAAAATATAAACACGTACACCAATTTGTTCACGGTTATATATGCATATTAATTGACGCGAATATCAAAATACAATTACCTTGGCACAATGATTATTCATGCATAGTCTTACATTCATATATACGCGTCGTGTATATATAAAATTAATTGATAGAATGTAATTTGTTAAATCATAAAAAAATGGATGAAGTCTGTGAAGAAGTACCTTCTCAATGAGAGAAACAGTATTTTTATTGGTTTGTGAAAAGAGAAAATCAGAAAACTGTAAAGGTCATGCAGCAACCAAATTTCTTAATAATACACTTTATCTTCAAAATTTCATGAAACATAATCACACACCTCAAGCTAAGAACAGTTGCTCGTATCAAAATAAGCACATAATAACTTGTGCAAATTATTTAAAATAATATTATTAAGATGTCAGAAGAACCATCAAATAATGTATTTTACAAAATAATTAGACATATTAGAAGAATAAAAATCCTATTACAATCATATCTTGATATAATTAATATTCCAGCTTCATTTTATTTTATTTTGAATAGAGACTTTTTTAAATAAGAGATATCAAGATTAATCAAGCAAGAATTTTATTAGTTTTTATAAAAATTAATATTCAATATTTATCTCAAGTATTATTTTGAATTATAAATAGTATATTCAAAACAGTTTCTATATCTTTCATTAATTATATACAATTCATATATCTGCTGAAGGAAAAAATAATTCTAAAATTCTTTTATTAGTATATGAATTGATGACTAGCAAGTTTGAAGAGCTTTATAAGTATTTATTTCAAAATTTAATTAATTTTGCTGATGAGAATAATAAAGAATATTTTAATTATATATTTTTATTAAAAACTTTTTTATAATTATTAGAAAAATAATATTTATTATATAATATTTTAAGAGTGAGAAATCATTAATATTAATTATATGATATTATTAGAATTTCAAAATATAAGGATTGAGAATTTTAATATATATAAACTTGAGAATATAAATTTTTATATCAAATAATTGTTTTATATTAATTTTATTTAATATATTTTATAATATTAAAAAAAATAAAATTAATAAATACTAATTTATAATTCTATAAAAGAAAAATAATAAATTTTCATATTAAATAATTATTTTATAATATTTATTTAATATATTTATTATTAATAAATAAAATTAATAAAATACTAATACATAATTCTATAAAAAAATAGGTTACATTTATATAATTAAAATATCTTATCTAAAAACAGAAGGATAGGTATCTATAATAAAATAATATATGTTATTATTCTTATAAAAAATTGTAAAAAATCACTTTTACTATAATTATAATTCTATAAGAAAAGTTCTCTAGAATTTTATTAGAATTAATACTTAATATCTGGAATTATAAGAAATTATTTTAGTACTGAAAAGGAATTGATACTTATTGTAATTTTAGATTTTTAGATTTTTAGATTTTTAGATTTTTTTTAAAAAGAGAAAATTATATGGAATCTATATCAAATATGGAATTCTTTCAGAATTTTAAGATTAATATTTTATGAAATTAAAAATTTTCAAAATGTATATTAAAATTTATGCTTAATATAAATTAAATTTATAGATTTTTTTTAAAAAGAGAAAATTATATGGAATCTATATCAAATATGGAATTCTTTCAGAATTTTAAGATTAATA